TATGTTATCTATTACCAACATCATTCTACACTTGGACTTTCGCACAGTAGGTATAGAACGTGACCTACTGTGTGAGGCCTAACGAGGTTATCTGACTGCCTAAACCTTGGTTGAAGCTACTTTCGAAGGCGTGACTTATCGAGTAGGAAATCAAACGCCTAGACCAGTTAACCAATACCTTTCCAAGTAGCCTGTTTTAGAACACTGCTTTCCAAACAACTTTTTGAGCCTGGGAATATTTATTCTAAATTTTGCCACTTCATAAGCATGTAAACTGGTGAAGAAAATGCAACAAATCACATTGTATTCTGCAAACTTTTTCTTTCTTGTTTTGCTCTGTAAAAAGGACTTGTGTCTGTTCACTTTAACATTACTGCTATTGTTAATAAAAATACTATCCTGTTCCTCAAACTTTTGTACTGTGCTAGCGCGTTTTTTCTGAGTTTAGTCACTTTTTAAAGAAAGCTGTATTTATATATTCCTGAATACTCATATTAGTTGCCAAAGGTTTTAGTAGCACAAATAATCTATTGGTTCAGTGTCAGATATGTTTGGTCATGATATAAAATGAAAACTTACTTTATATGGGAAACAGTGGGGCAAGCAAATTCTCCAACATTTGCTTATTATGTCAAACTTTATTGGTTTGTAGTGTACTGTGAAATTCTATGCAGTCAGTCAATATCAGCTTGTTACCTGTGGTTACAGTTTTTGGTGGTTCAGATTGCCAGTACACAAATAAACCAGACATCAAATGAAAGATTGGAAAAAGTGCCATAAACAAGTCATGAAACGAGTGGGAGGTTGGGAATAAGACTAACGAAATGCGACATGTCGATTATGATCAGGGTTATGTGTGTAAGTATTTGCATCTCGAGGATCGATTCTGAGACATATGTCTAGAGTTTCAAATGACTAGTTTTTGTGTCACGCGGACCACAACCACCAAGAAGTCTACATTTTCCATATGACTTTGACTAACGATGAGAGATTTCAGTAATTACTCCCACGTTTTAACGTGATCACCTTCAATCTTCTTTTACTTTAAACCTATCTTAGCTGATGTTGCGCCATTAGATAAACAGTGACTAGGCCTGTATGACACATATCTCCCTCATCTGAGTCTATAAAGGTTTGCATCGTCGTCAACTGACTTATTCATTGTAGCTAAAACTCGATACCTGACTTCTACATCACAAATGTGCGGACACCACAACTCACGGTCGATCCTACGAAGGTGCAGTGTTATATACACCTATAACCTGTGTAGTTTTGAAGTAAGTAGCACTTTGTACGGTGACCATTAGTTTATTTCCCATTTCTCACTTACCTTTAAACTTGAGCAATATTCATTATGTAATGTTGGGAAATTCTTTGGCTTTCTTCTTGTCTCCTACATTGTGTAAACAACTGTCTCTTCTCAGATATATACGATTGTACAGCTTGAAAATAAATCCGTTGAAAAGAGTCTCTTCGCTGAATATCTTGTTCTTGATGTTACAATGGGAATTATTAAATTATCAAAACTTTATTATTTATCATCATTTGTCCCTTGGGTTCCTAGTGGAACAAAGGGCTTCAGTAGCACGTCACCATTTCACTCTTTTCTCTGCAGTCTTCTCAACCTGGCTCCACGACTGCACACAAGCTCTCATTTCTTCCTCACACCATCTCCTCCATGTCACCCACAGATGGGATGTCCAACTCGTCGTTTCCTATCTGGGTTCCACTCGACGGCCTGGCCTGACGCGTGATGTCCCTGAATGGTCTTCTCAGTGTATGCCCAATCCATCTCCACTTCCTTCCTCTGAATATTTGTTCAGCGATAGGTTCTTGTTGATTCGTTACCAGTCAGTTAGCCAGAGTTCGTTGTTGCTTATTCTTTCTGGTCATCCATGTGATCTTCAGTATGGAGTGAGCGTAGGTGGCAGTTGTTGATGATGTATGTGTGTAGTTTTTGGAAATGCTTTTCGTGACGCGCCAAGTGTCTGATCCATACAGAAGTAGTGACTTGACTGACATTATTGTTGAAAATCCGGATCTTGTTCACACTTTATGCTGGGTGCAGAAGATCTCCCTACTGGTTTTAGGTTAATGAACGCCTGTCCTGCTTTGTTTCCGATCGTGGTTTTGATGTCCTCGTCTGTGCTGACTGTAGTTGAAGCAGTGCTGCCTAGATAGGTGAGAGAGGCTACTTTTATTTTAGGTTTCTGTCGTTGATGGATATTGTAGCTTGTTGTTGTTGGTGGTGGCGTTGGTTAGGTATCATCATCACCTCTGTCTTGTGTATGTTCACTTGAAGTCCGGTCTTCGCTGCGTCACCTCTTCTGTTACGTTGTTAGTTTTTGCCTGTAGATCTTGGAGTTTGTGTGACATTAGCCACACGTGATCGGCGGGATCCAAATCTTGTATGATCTTTTTGCCGGTCCAGCCATTGTATCCTCGTCCTCTTGTTCCTCACTGTTTGCTGCATGATCCAGTCGACCACAATGAAGAAGATGATCGGTGATAGTAGACAGCCTTGTTTTACTCCGTTCTTTACTTCAAAGGTATCACAGAGCTTCCTATTGTGAATTACTGGGCATGAAGCGTCTTCATATAGAGTTGTTGAATGAGATTGATGATGGTTTATGGTATTCCTTAGTGTTGGAGCAGTTGCCAAATTATTTATCGGTTGACGCTTTCGAAGTCGATGAAGTTGAGGTAGAACGTTGACTGCCATTCTATACTCTGTTCTATGATGATGATGCAATTTGATCCGCACATGACTTGTACTTCCTGAATCCAGCCAGCTTGTTCTGGTCGTAGTTTTGAATCCAGCGCACCCTTTAATCTCTCCAGGATGATGCGGCTTAATATTTTGCTTGGGGTGGATAAAAGTGGAGCATGATTCCGCGCCATTTCTTGCAAAGACTTAGGTCGCTCTTCTTTGGGAGTTTGATAAGGATTCAGGGATAGATACAAATGGCTTACCTCTGTAAACATACGCCGAAATGATATCGATATACGTAACTATTTTGTATTCTTTTTTTTCGATGATTATTTCACGTCGCCGCCTATCGAAAATGTCGCTCAGTACGCTTGAACATCAAGATAACTGTGCATGAAACTGAGAAAACAAAGTTTGACACCTTCTCAAGACTAAAAACAATAATAACTTACTATACCCAAGTAGTGACTGTCCTCAAAGCACAGCTGAATGAATAGTTGAACCCGGAACTACTGAGCTAACTGATTAAGTGCGTATACGTATATAATTTTGCTTGATGAAGTTATCTGTTACATATATCTGCTTAATTGTAATCATATCAATGTATAGGAAATAGTCAGTAAGGAATAATACTAAATTTAGTAGATAGTTATTAGGTGTATAACGGGATATTGATTTATTTATTCTGTCGCTGCCAGTCTGAACCGTGTAAAATGGTTAAAACTGTTTGCTTAAAGTCTTTGAGATGTTCAAATTCAGTGGCTATGACTCAGATATGTTTTCTCTGTTCATTATCGAGATATTTTGAATAGTTTTCATCACTTTAATTAATTTATTCCTTCTCCTGTCGTTCTTCTCAATTCAGAGGTCATTCATTTTCTTGTCAATTACAGAATATGCTGGTGTAAAGTTTAGTAATTTAAGGTGAAACACTGATTAGGCATGGGAGTTTTACGTTACTATTTCTGTCTACTATTTTCATTTTCATCCACTATACCAAATTTTTGGATGTTTGTTGAATTTGGTTGGTTGTGGCTAGCAGACGAATCTCCCTATTTGGAACTCACTGGTCAGCTGAATGTACCTGCATCCCAGTGCCGAATGATGTTGTTCCCACTGAGACTTGAACCTATTACCCATCGCTTCAAACGCCAAGACGCTATGCACTATGCCATGGAGGAACGATAGCCATTTCTTGTACGACGGGTAGTAATAACTTTATTTAGTTTAGACTTCTAATTATTTTTCTAAATTTCAAGTGGCTAGTAAGACAAACTAGAAATATATCATGTTATACGATGGCTTTATTATACATATATTAACAAACTAGTCAGTTGTTGCTTTTTAACTAGTGTTTCTCATAATATTATTGAACTGGGCTTCGTTTAACTTTTGCTTAAAATTTGATCCATATCTAGTTCGAATGTGATGGTTACATTTCTGCATGTTAACCTTTTGTTTTTTCAATGAAGAAAATTTCTCGATGAGACCATTTCATTTTTAGAAGCTGTACAATTGTATGCTTTTTATGAATCATCAAATCAATTCGAAAAACTTAGGAGACTACTGGTCAAAGATGCAAGATATGAGGCGAAGATGAAACAATAAATGTTGAACTTTAGTCAAACAAAATGTATAATGTAATAGATACCAAGAGAAGTGAAATTGTTATAACAAAATAAAGTGGATTGTAGTAGGATAAAATAAAATTGGTTGATTAATTTCACACTAGTGAAAGGGATCGCACAAACTGTTTCTGTATATATAATTCTCGTTTAAGACACAACGTAGGTGTATGCGTGTGTATCTTTCAATAATTTTGTTTTGACCTTGTGAATAATGTCAAATGATGATACCTAGGCTGCATAGTCGTTTATATAAATACGATTGTAAAGCTGTTGAAAAATGAAATTGTCGCCAGTATACATTTTCTTCATTAAAATCTTTGTTTAATGTCTTGACCGGGTATTTGTTAATTTAATTAGAAAAGAGTTTTACTGTAATTTACTTGGTTGTAATTAGCAAAGGAATCCAGGATGCGTGTTTCCTCCTATTTATGACTTGTCAGCTCGATGTATCCGGACCCCAGTAAGTGATGTTGTTCCCACTGAGACTCGAACCTCGTATCCATCGATTCAAACACCAAGGTGTTATCCACTGAGGTACAGTAGCCATTTCTTGGTCGAACAATTTGATACAATAAAACAACGGAGAATAACAAGTATATCAATAAATAATAGTTTTATTGTTTTAAAAATTTTCATATACCTCATCATAGTTTCTCTTAAAGATCCTTCAGATGGTCAACTCAACCGTGTTGGTCATTCAACCCTAATATGGTACAATCATCTCAAAATGGTATTGAGAAATCAGATAAACAACAAGAATTCGTTGGTAGCAATATTGTTGATGGTGGACCATTTACAAATTTTTCAGACTTGAAAAAATCATCTACTTCTTGTATGGATATACCAGATTTGAAAAATAGTGATAAACAGGTGAGAAATTCAGATTTTACTTGATTGATTGATAGTGTAACTCAGGAATTACTTTTAGGCATCCATTTGCCTGTATGGTTCACTCATATCACATGGTCATTAAAACGTCTTTGTATGTCTCCATTATTCCTTTTTTTTGAATTACTGAGTTTATTAATATTCACTGCATTTCCTTTCTTTTTTCTTTCGAAGATAACTTTTTTTTTCTTTACCGACTAACTATCGAAGGACGATTATACTGTACTGCAGTACGTTCTGTCTTGTTACACGGCTGTGGGATATGACCGTTATAAGTAAGAGGCAGGAGGCGGTTGCAGGGTTTTCATAAGAGATGTCTTCGTAGCATTGCTCACTTATCGTGTAAGCACTGTTGAAGTCAAGCAAAGGGTACTAGGCAAGAAAGACAAGTTGAGTTGCGAGATTGTGAACCTTAGATGGCTTGGACATGTTCTGCGCATGCTCTGTCACCGCCTACCTCGACGTACAATGCTAGGAGAAGTTGGATTAGGTTGGAAAAAGGTTCAGGGTAACCAGACCAAGACGTGTCACCAATCGATAAAGTCTCTTACTGTTGGTCTAAGCCATGTGGGTCAACATAGAATGCGTGATTGGAGTCCCGAGATAAAAGGAATCAGTGGTTGAGGACTCTTGGTAACATGGCTGTAAACTGATGACAGTAGTAACGCAGATGTATACACTACTTGACATCTGAAACTTGAATATTCGCACTAATATTTATCTTCAGATTGCTTATTCTCTGACACAACCTTGTCTCATCTGATATCACACTTTTGTATCCACCTGTCCTTTTTATAGTACTGTGATACACTTATGCGGAAGGTTTGTAGCACTTTGAGTTGATATAAAAGTATTCAAAACAATATCTCTTAAAGATACTTTAAGTAGTGAGCAGTGATATTCCTTGTTCTATTTCAAATCCATATAAAAAATATTCCAGAAGTGTTGGAAACAATGAAGTTTTAGAGTTAACACGTGAAATTCACTATGAAATCATGAAACTTCTACCTAATATATTTTCATTCTTTAATTTATAGTAATTTTTCTGTATGATAACTGTAAATCTATATGGTATTACAAACTGAAACAGCATATCATAATCACAGCTATCTCTCATATTTAATGTAATCTATAAGAAAAGGAGGCAGCATCATAACTGTATATATCCCTAGTTGGTTATCTGTCTAAATTCCACACAATGATAGAAATTGATCTTTGATTATCCAAAATGAAATGTTTGAAATATGATATATTAGAGGCAAATGTAATTATTATCTTGAAGTAATGGACTTTTCTGTGTAAGGTTCTACTTTGGTTTTATCTGTCTATCGATGGGCTTTTATAGGTCACTCTATCAACTGCTGAGATAACCAATTAAACTTCTAAATTTTATAAAGAAACTACCTTTCTAACTGGAATAATGAAATCTGAAAATTTTTCATCAAAATGTATCTGTTTACTTTGTCCCCTTGTAGTGCATACATTTTGTCTGGTGTTATGTAATTCTATTTCGTGTCCACTTCTTCTTGTTGTTTGTTTGCTATTGTGAAATTTGACACCTTGAACTTTATTACACTTTTGTGCCAAGTTCTAAGCTAATTTCTCTTTGTCTGTCTGAAAATGATATTCACAATGGAATGATTACATGTGACTTATATAAAATAATTGCTGAATTGATGGTTGGTACAACGTTTGTCTGTAGAATTTAGTTATACTGCCAACTTGTTCTTCTATATATATATATATATATATATATATCTATTTTTTCCAGTCTGTGTACATATGTCCATGTAAAGTTACGTGAAAGAATTTATGCCAACCATTATGGATTTTAAAAGAATTTAGCGCTTTTTAAATTGTTTGAAAGGAAAACAGAAACATTTTCTGTTTCATCTGCCTTCATTATAAAGAATATCACTAAAGCGTCTCTCACTAAACTGTGTGAATAAAAATCAATGACAGGGTAAATCAACCTTATAAGAAGTGTTCCAACAACACGAGACATGGATACAAGGCAAGATATGCAAGTCAATGGATGAGGTTGGGAACCTTTATTAGCTGAGGTGGCATACAAGCGCCTAAATTCAAGTTGCCATACTTCACAAGTACATTAAAAAAAATTGATATCAAAGTCGACAAGGTTGTATAAGAGAATAAACAGTTTGAAGATGACGGTTCGGAAAGACGTCAAGGAGTGAATGCATCTGCGCCATCATCACCAGTTTTCAGCCATTTCATAGAAATCCGTCAACCAATGGTTCCTTTCGTCTCGTGGACCCCCAACCAGACATACATGGCTCAGACCAACAGTAAGAGACTTCATTGACTGGTGACACGTCTCGGTCTGACCACCCTAACTTTTCTTCCGATATAATTCAACTTCTGGTAATTTGCTTGATTATAGCTAGCAGAAGAACCAAGGACATGTGTTTCGTTCCATTTAGCTGTCAGCTGAATGCACCTGCACTCTTGTGAGTGATGTTGTTCCCACTGAAACTCGAACCTCATACCCATCGATTCAAATGCCAAGGCGTCATCCACTATGCCAAGCAGACACGATAGCCACTTCTTGTACAATGGATACTAGTTATTGCTATTTACTGATATAGTTAGGATTCTCCGTTGTTTTATTGAATCGAATCGTTCAACGTCTATCGGCTTATGAGCTGCTGTATAGATGCCTCGATATAGCCTCAATGTTAATTATAGTAATTTGCTTGGTTGTGACTAGCAGAGGAATCCAGGACGCGCATTCGAAGCGATGGGTACGAGGTTTGAGTGTCAGTGGGAACAACATCACTCACTGTAGTGCAGGTAAATCCAGCTGACCAGTGAGTCCAAAATAAGAAGAAATGCCCTTCCTTAATTCCTCTGCTAGCCACAACCAAGCAAATTACTATAATTACAATTCAGGCAATAACTCAGCATACACATAGGAGCTCACATGCCAATAGCGGTCGGACAATACGATCTAATAAAACAACGGAGAATTAATTTCAAGTATATCAATAAATACCAATAATTCAACTTCTCTTAGCATTTCGCATCGAGGTAGTCGATGACACAGCATGCACAGTACATCTCCAAGTCATCTCAGTCAATGTAGACTCTTAACTTTATCAATCGACTTGATTGTATTACCTAGTTGGTAAATACTGACTTACATCTGCGCTGATAGTTTTAAGAACAAGAAATCTGTTCAACTGACAGAAAATATCACAATGAATTTGCATTTTCTCTATAAGCTTGTTGGGAAACATGCTTCCTTCTTAAATTATTCATTCTTTTTTTAGGTTATTTTTCGATACGTTATTTTTTTCATTTTTTCAAGTGCTATATTTAGATACTAAACTGTATTTAGTATTATTACTTGTATTAAACCGTCGTTGATTAGACTGAATTGATTGGTCCCTATTTGGCATATGGGTTGTTGTGTTGATGCCTCGATAGTACCTGTGTTCTAATTATAGTAAAGATGGATACTGGTTAGCAATGGAATTCAGGATGCGTATTTCATCTTAGTTGGGACTTGTCAGCTAGATGTACTTGCCTCCCACTGAGTAATGTTGTTACCACCGGGATTCGAACTCTGCACCGATCACTTCAAACGCCAAAGCGTTATTCACTAGACCACAGAGCCACGATAGCCGCTTCTTGTGCGATAGGTATAGTTTCAGTGTTACTGCTTGTATTATCCCATCGTTGATTGGACTGAATTGATCGGTGTGTATTGGTATATGGGCTTTTGTGCGGAAGCCTTGATATTGCCTGCGTTCTTAACTATACAGTAATGATGGGTAGTGGCTAGCAGTGGAATCCACTGGATCTATCATTATTAAACTGTATTTGGTTAATTGTCGATACCAGCTTAAGATTGAATGAAATTTTTAAAGCGAAATTTCATCTGTATAACAATACGTCTATAACTATGCTTTTATAACTAATTGAAATTCAAGATAAGTTAATGTTGAGATCGGTACAGAGAAAAAGAAGAATTTAAATTTTATTATTATATTCTCGCGTATTTAAGAAGAGTCATAACAGTTATAAATTATTCTACAGCATTGAATATCTGAGGCATATCTTCAATGTAATTCCTATAATTATGACACATAAAACACTATCAACAAAACCGTATTTCAATCGCTTTTCTAAAAACTGTTCACACTCTATTCAATTTTTCAACATGCTATAAATACAACATTTGGAAAATAAAATGATGACAGTTTATATCATTGGCTTTTCACCAGCTGCATATATATATATATATATATATATATATATATATATATGCAGATCAACCTAGGACCAGGTATTACTGCGTAACGGTCCCACTTGCCACACTTCATATCGGTACATTAAGTAAAAAGGTAGTGAGGCGCAAGATGAAGATAAGAGAATGCAGTCAAAAGAAATATGAAGTATGAAAAGAGAGAAACAAAGAATGAGAAAGTGATGAGATTCGGTATAGCGTCGTTAAGATGAGGATAATGTATATGTGTATACATCTGTACAACTGATATCGTTTGTCAGCCACATCACCTAGTCTTTAGCCACTGGGTTCTCTTGTCCCACGGACTCCAACCACCCAGTCTGCATCGCCTTACATAGTTCAAACCAACAGTCAAACATATCATACATTGATACAGTGTCTTAGTCTGGTCACCTCGGCCTTTTCTGCAGCTTGAACCTACTTCAGCCAAAATTGTGTGACGAGGCAGACGGCAACTAGGCATCCGTAACACACATCGGAGTAAACCATTTCAGTCTACCAAATCTATTTGTGTTTATTTTAATACTTTCAATATATTTTCTTTATGTATCATATACTGTTGAATATTTTTTTTAATGTTTTCAACCTGTCGTTTCTCAAGTTAAAAAAGAAATAGAGGAAAAATTTTATATCGAATAGAAATAAATGTGTCGATGCTTAAAAAAAATACTATTTTTTTTTACCTAACTAAACTACCACCAATATGATTACGCTTGATTTCGTATTCATCCTCAAGTCCAGACTAGACACTAATGTTAACACCGAATGCCTGTTTCATATTATTTCCTTTAATACTGTTATTATTAACACTATACAGACGTAATAATTATTTCTTTTAAAAATAATGAACACGGAGCGTATTTGTTGAAATATTCCGTGTTGAAAAATTCCATAATATATGACATATTGTTTGGGAGAAGCCATTACTATTATTTTTATTATCATATATTATTATTTGTCCTTTGGGTTCCTGGTTGAACATAGGGCTTTAGTAGCACGTCGCCATCTCACCCTCTTCCCTACAGTCATTTCAACCTGGTTCCACGATTGCCCATAAGCCCTCATTTCTTCTTCATACGATCTCCTCCATGCCACCCACAGATGGGACGCCCAACTCGTCGTTTCCTTTTTCGCTTCCACTCGACGGCCTGGCATGGCACTTGATGTTCCCGAATGGTCTTCTCAGTGTATGTCCTATCCAATACACCTCCACTTTCTTCCGGATATTTGTTTAGCGATGGATTTTTTTTTGGTTGGTTCATTACCAGTTGGTCAGTCAGTCAGTCAGTCAGAGTTCGTTGTTGCTTATTCTTTCTGGTCATCCATGTGATCTTCAGTATGGAGTGAGCGTAGGTGGCAGTTGTTGGTGATGTATGTGTGTAGTTTTTTGGAAATGCTTTTCGTGACGCGGCAAGTCTCTGAACCATTTAAAAGCACTGACCTAATATTAGTGTTGCTATTTATGCTGAGTTGAGTGGAGTGCAGTAGATGTCGACACTGATTTCAAATTAATGAAGGAAGGAAGGCTTGTCGTGCCTTGATGTCTTTCTGATCCTTGCTTTGACGTTTTCGTCTGTGCCGCGTGTGTAGTTGACAGGATGCAGCCTAGATAGGTAGATAGGTAGGCGAAAGAGATAACTTCGTTTAGATTTCTGTCGTTGATGGTGATTGGTGCTTGTTGTTGTTGGTTAGGAATGTTCATCATGTGAGTTTTCTCTCTGTTCATCTGATGGAATTGCGGTGTTCGTGTGTTGCCTCGCCTCTTCTATCAGCTTGTTGATTTTCGCCTGTAGATCTTCGAGTTTGTGCGCCAAGATGTTAGACATCAATGATGATGTGGGAAATCCAAATCTTCTTGCGGGGTATTTTCATCGGTGCAGTTAGTGGTATGTTCATCTTGTCGCTCGTTACGGTTTGTTACATGATCCAGTCCAGTTGAGTTGACTACAATCAGGAAGATGATAGGTGATAGTAGGTGGCGACCTTGTCTCACTCCTGTTTTGACTTGACTTCAATTCAAATGCATGACTGAGCTTCGCATTGTGTTTAGAATGGCTTGGCGTGCAGCCTCTTGACATAGGATATAGGTGTTGTTGATTGAGGTAGGTGGAGGTTAGTGGGACTAGAAGTGTAGTGTTGAAGCAGCTTGTTGTTCGAGTCTATGGAAGGCCTTTTCAGAGTCGTTGAAGTTGAGTTGAGTTGACTGCCATTCTATGGTCTGTTGTATGACGATAATGCGTAGTGTATCGTTGCAATCTGATCCGCTCTTGATCTTCATTATTATTATTATTAATTATATTATTATTTTATTATTTTATTATTACGTTTGCTGAACACATTTCACTTCGCAACACAAAGGGGTAAAAGGAAAAATTAAGCCAACATGGAGATGTATGTTGTTAGTATCACGTAAAGAATTCCCTCAAATAGGTGAAGTGGGATTATATTGATTACATATTGTCTTGTCCTGAGTGCTTGGCGTATTCCGTCGATCTTATTTGCAGTATGACCTTCAAGCTAAGAGGCTTTGCATTGTGGTGCACTTGAATAGATGTTAATTGGCTGGCGGCAATCGGCATAAAGCCTTCGACCTAGGCTTCGGGCATGTTGGTACTCATAAGCAAGGCGTGTTCGCAACCTTGATGGAACAGATATCTCGCTTGAGATTAAAGCCCGCTTCACCCAGTTTTGTTGTTAGCGAGGTTACCATCGAGTTATTCGGGTGGCGACTAGCCTCATACTGGACTGAATTAAATACATTGATTGATAGCTGGACAGGGACCAATCTCATATTGTCTAGTCCTGAGTGCTGACTGTTTTCTATCTATCATTTTGAAATGTAACCACGAGCAAGATGACCCACAATTATGATGCACTTTGATGAGTGTTAGTTGGCTGAGATGAGATTAAATGCACGTAAAAGTGGCTATATAATCATGTGGTAAAAATGGTCATAGTAATGAAAAAGGTAAATATAATGAAACCATACGTGTTGGAATAAACATACAAGAATTTATGCTTGAGGTCGGAGAGGGAAAAGTCACTTTTAACCAGGATGTCGCCTTTTTAATACGATTCATATCAAATTGATTGGTAAGCAATGAATTCAGAAATTCAAAGTTTGCTTGTTAAACACTCTTGCAACAAACGTACGTTGAATGAAACATATATGTCAATTTCTAACGAGATCGTTGTACGTTTTGTATGTGGTGTGTCACTTATTACTGTATCTAGTGAACTCTATACCACTACTTCATCCATCCATACGTCTGTAGAAAGCGTTGTTGAATTGTAGGTTTTTGGTAAACATGATTACAAGACGTTTTAGGTCATACTTTAGTCAAGATACAGCATAATAGGATGAATACTGTGTCTGGACAGATTATTATTTTAGGAAAAGGTTTACCTGTAAGAAAGTAGCATTATATGACACTATGTACGTATTGCATACGTTTAGTTGTTTTATTTTTTCTGTGAAATCAAAGAAGTCTTTTGCGGGATACATTCATTACTTTTCACGAATCTTCGGTTTTTATATGAATCAGAGAAAAGTTTTAGGGAGTGAAGAATCGATCGTTGATAAAACGAATCTTTTGACTTTAACCCCACCAGAGTACTTGTCATTTCATTTGTCGGTTTCACTTCCTTCATTACTAATGGATACTCTTCAGATCTGGACAAATAAACGAATTTAGATTTAAACTTCCTGAAAATTGTTAAGTTAATAATATAACTTCTTGAAGTGTGATTCCCTGTACGCATCCTGCTAAAGACTTTCTTGAAGATGTGAAACCGAAAGCTGTCTGATATACTTTATCGTTAGACCTAATATCAAGGTTCTTGGTAATTTGTCATGAGATTCAGTTACACGTTGAAGATGATTGTTGGTTGTTATTATTATTATCTGTCCTTTGGGTTCCCAGTGGGACGTAAGGCATCAGTAACACGTCGCCAATCCACTCTCTTTGCAATCTTTTGAACCTGGCTCCAAGATTGCCCACAAGCTCGCATTTTCTTCACAAGATGTCCTCCATGTCACCTTCGGATAACCTCGCCCAACTCGTCGTTTCCCATCTGGGTTCGACTCGACGGCCTGGCCTGACGTGTGATGTCCCCGAATGGTCTTCTCATTGCATGCCCAATCCATTGTTGGTTGGCGAGTTGTAACTCTACTAGTTTAGCATGTTATATTATTACTTCATCTCTTTACATTTTTAAAGAAATAGAAGTTGTGTACATTATATATACGTTTGCATCTTAATTTCCTTGATATATTATAAGATGTTCTAAATCTCGTCTACTATTTTTCCTATACATAAAAAACTTGGAAGAGTCAACACTATCATCCATGTATATAACATGCATATTATAATGACATTTTGTTTTGTTATGGTACTTATTCGTTAATTGTAGTACTTTTATTTCATTGTGTTGCTATCACGCTATATTGATTTCTGTGTAAAAGAATTGTTATGGTCTGGTGACCCCTTAGTTCATGAAGACTATTTTATAAAATTATTTTACTGATTGATAAAAAATTTTTTAATTCCATAGTTACTTAGATAATTTATCATTGTCATTTTGCGTTATTATTATCATTAGCCAGTACTTGTTTTTCCTTTTTTTTTGTTCTAGCTTACTACTATAGAACTTACTAACCATATGGTTGTTACACAGGCCTCAACTGATATATCCAGTGCTATAGTGAAGAAAAACTCGTCATTCAGTTATCTTGGTAGCGCTGAACAAAGTCAAACCCACCCACATCGTGATAAACCTCATGGGCATCATCATGGTCATAGTCATGATTTAAGTTCTGTTCGTGCTATAGCCTATACTATTATTGCTGGAGATGGATTGCATAACTTTTGCGATGGGATCGCTATTGGTGCAGCTTTCGCAAATGATATCCGTGGTGGACTGTCAACATCAATAGCGGTACTATGTCATGAGCTACCACATGAATTAGGTAAGGTGCAATGATATGAAGTTTCCGCTTTCACTACTCTTAAGATATCCTTTCCACTCACTCTTTGCTCAAATTTTTTGCAGTTTTCCAGACAACTATACGGTCTTACAATTTTCGAACCGGATTGCTTATTATTTCCTCTTCTATATTGATTCGGTTAGTCACTGAATAAGTATTGACTATTCGATTAGATGTAGATGTCCATTGTAGTATTAGATTAAAGTGTGTTCATCCAAAGGCAAGATGTTGATCAAAACTGTTGTATTATTTGCCTATCATCGTAACGTTGATCTGTTAGTCGAAGGAAGAAGATCATAAAACTTAGTGGATATAAATTGAGTACTAACCATCTATTCATTTCTATCATTTCTCCTCCCTCCATCCCTGAGCTAGGATCATATGTAGTATTTGTTCTTGACTGTTAATTTCTGCAGCTATTGTTCATTGGTTTGGGGAGATGACTTTCAACTGGTCGTGGAGTCGAACCTCGCTCCATCTACCGAGGTAGTATCACTAGCCCTCTTACACTAGGCGTCACTCATTGCTTACTGCACAAGGTTGATGAGTGCATTTCAGTTTCATCACTTAACGTACATACATAACTGTCTCAATGACTGTTTGACCTTTGAGCCTTGTATTAATTCTTGAGCTGTTCTGTTGTTGTTTTGTGGCGTTGTTGAAATTTATGATATTTAGTTGTTCCTTCACTATTTTATTTAATTTCTCGTGTTTGACTTTTCTGATGAGGACAGTATTTATACAACGAAGTCTACTGTTTCACCATCAATTTACTAACTCCATAATGGTAACGGATTAACTTACTCAGAACTGTGAATGAAATGGCAAATACTTTTTTGAATGGAAACAACTGATTATCATTTGACTATCTGAGATAGCAGCTGTGGTTTGGCAGACTAGTATTTATACTGCGTGATGATTGAAGATGAAATGAAAGTTTGGACCACGACCGGATTCAAACCAACGACCACCGATGATGTACCAACTGAGGTACAAGCTCTGACTGCTGACCAGAAACTCATGAAAGTAGAACAAGGAAAGAGACTATACTATAATTCATTATGACGATTAGGAAGATGATATGCGAATACATCTGCGCCGATTCTGTCTATTCTGAGCCATATCATCTAAAGTCTTCGACTAGTATTAATACTAGTCTACCAAACTACGGCTATCTGAGATAATCAATATGATGTTCCCCCCACCTCTAATTCAGTTAGATTTGGATTGGAATGAAAAGCCCCTACTAGGTAGCCAGTGTGAATACAATCAAGCAGTAGTAACGCGTCACAAATTCACATGTTAGGCAAAACCCATGGTGATTGAAGTGAAATAAAAATCTGGTTAACAGTCGAACCTCGTAGCTCAATTGGTAGAGCATCGGGCCGATAACCCGGTGGTCGCTAGTTTGAATCCAACTGCGGTCTAAATTTTCATTTCACCTTTAATCATCATCCAGTATAAACAACCCATTAGATGTATTATGTTAATTTTGTACAGTCATGCGTACATTTTTATATAAACAGCTCATTAGCGACTAAACTATAGAAAAAGTCTCAATTCTGTATTTCATCTTTTATTATTTTCATGCTATTGATAAAGTACTCCAATTAGTTAGAATGCTGGATGCAGTTCCTCTATTTTGCTTTAATTGTCAAAATGTTCACTTTCCTCCACTTATCCGCCAATGCTTAAACTTAGTTCATTTATCATGAACCACCATTTCCTTCGTAGCATACGTCATGATATCACCACACCAGTATCGTGAAAGTTGGAGCTTTAGGTAAAATGAGTAAACTACTTGGTGAGAATCCAAACTTTCATGAATTGAGATTCCTACGACTTGTGTTACAAATGCTTAGTCATCGTCTCCTCCATCTCACAACGTTAGGTGAGGTATATTCAGATTCGAGCAAGGTTAGAAGTGTATGATAGGGATTCTTAGAAGCATCTCACATCCCAAGGACTCAGTGTTATTCTCCTGCGGAAATCTGATATCCAATGAAGTATTATTTTTTCACAAATCTATTAGTTAGTTTCATATTCCTAACCTTATTTTATCAGTCTCTCAAATGGTGCACAATAAACTTCATTGACTTGGTTCGTTTCCGCGTTCCAGAATCAAAGCGATGCATTTTCCAGAAAACCGTCTTATAAAGAACATTTTACTGAGTAAAAGTTAAATATTTAGTAAATATGCCACTTTAGTAACCAGCAGGTGAACGCAAGCGGTTATTTCAAACTTGTATAGCCCTACATTCTTCGGAATTCTTCGTAAATTTCGTTATAAACAAATGCGATTTTTGAATTTTACTGTTATTCATTGTTGTCATCGACGATGAAATTTGAAGGGTTGTTTATAGGACCTGAATTCTATAAAATTAATCAAAATTTCAAAGAAACTCCATACATGTGTGGTTCAAAAATTTAATCAGCCTCTTTATCAATCATCTGTAACTGGTTGCTATGATTATTTCAATAAAAAGAAAGTAAGATTCATCGTTTTCTAACAAAACAACAGAAAATAACATAGGCAGTTTAGATGCAACAAAGATCTACTAATAACACCTCCCAACAAATGTTCAGTCTTATTCCTTATGAACTAGAAAACGTTTTTAGATAGGATATTGCATCTACTCTCAAAAAACAGTAAGTTTTTAAGGTCTACCAACTAAAGAAATCAAACAGAATTAGTTGAAAAACAGCTTATTGGAGTTTAAAAAAAGAATGATCTGATAATCATAAAAAACGTTTATGAGCCTATGCATACTTAAAAGACCTACTTTTCAGGTGTACACCATCAATGTGCAATTCATACTCAGTGACATAACCTACAGACAAAAATATGAGGTTGTAATCGAATCTCAGCTAGGTTATTACTGGGAAATTAATTTATGGCAAGCCTGACAGATGACTAAGTGAAGTGAACAATTGATGATTAATAACTTTGTAAAACGTATGTGGACGATAATTTTTTGTTATGGGGTCACAAATGTGACTTGGATCGTGTACTGAATATATTTAGTAGCCATTACTCAACCTCATTCAACAGCTATATGAAAACGCCACATACCAAGTGATCCACGATGAAAAGCTCAGTGACGCCTTTGAAGTGAAGACAGGAATAAGACAAGGTTGCCGCATACTATCACCAATGATCTTCCTGATTGTGGTCGACTCAACTGGATCATGCAGCAAACCGTGAGGAGCGAGAAGATGGGCAGACGCTGGACCGCTGAAAAGATCCTAGAAGATTTGGATTTCGCCATTGATGATTGATGTCTAATGTCTTGTCTCATAAACTCAAAGATGTACAGGCGAAAACTAACAGGTTGACAGAAGAGAGCGGAAACAGGACTTCAGGTGAATGTAGAGAAGACGAAGATGATGATTTCCAACCAACAACAGCATCAACAACCAATCACCATGAACTGGAGAAACCTAAAGGAAGTAGTCTCTTTCACCTACCTAGGCAAGGCTGCATCGTTTCAACTACAGGCGGCACAGGCACAGATGAGGATGTCAAAACCAGGATCGGAAAAGCAAGACAGGTCTTCCTTCATTAACCTGAAACCAGTATGGAGATCTTCCGAACTCAGCATGTGCTACAAGATCCAGATTTTCAACACCAACGTCAAGTCAGTGCTTCCATATGATGGTTCAGAAACTTGGTGCGTCACGAAGAGCACTTCCAACAAACTACAGACATACACTGACAGCTTCCACCTACGCTCATTCGATTCTGAAGATCAGAATAAGCAATAAGAAACTCTGAGAACGAATCAACCAAGAACCTATCACCCAAAAAATATGCAGAAGAAAGTGGAGATGGATTGGGCATACACTGAGAAGGCCGATTGGGGACATCACGCGTCAGGCCAGGCCATCGTGTGGAATCAAAAGGGGAAACGACGAGTTGGGCGAGGTTATCCGAGGGTGACATGGGGGAGATGGTGTGAGGAAGAAATGAAAGCTTTTGGGCAGTCGTGGAGCCAGGTTCAAAAGACTGCATAGAACAGAGTGCAATGGAGGCATGCTACTGAAGCCCTGTTCCACTAGGAACCCAAGGGAAAAATATAATAATAATGATAATAATAATAATACTCGGTGATAAAGTTTACTCTTAAAATGGAAAGAATTCTTTTCAGAAAATTCTAATTGAAAATGCATATCCGCCTTGTTTCATAGTAATGAATACCGGAACGTCACCATTAATATATAGCTTCATTTTTTTATCGAATAGTATGCTGTGCTTGACTTCAAAGGTGATTCAACTTTTGACATTCTGAAAAGAATGTCATCAGAGAAACATTCAACCATTGCAAAGAACGTTCGTTGGAGAAAAGTTGAGAGTAATTTTCATCAGCAACCTACGAATTTTTAACGACTTAAAGGTGGTGATATCGCCTCTGACCACCTTCACTTCCACCTGCGGGACTAAGAATATCGGTCGTTCAAACATGCGTCATGTCCAGGAGGACTCAAGAATCCAATCCTGCATCCTTGTGAAGAGGCGGTAGTGGTTCCGTAAGGATTGCATTAACTGAGCATTTCGTTGACTGTGACCACATAGTTTCGAAAACTTCCTGTTTGAAAGTTAACTGCAAGGTGAAAAAAACTGAAATTTTAGCTATTCACATGCGATTTTAGCAACTTTGTATACAGAAGAGATTTGGTCAACCTCTTTTCTTCTGACGATTTTAATCAATGAGCTTACAAACCACCCCTTCTGTTCGGTTCTTACATAACTCAACTCCTATAATTCTAGATAACAAGTAGTTCTTCAAGTGTTTTGTCATGTTGAGCAATTCATCAAAGACTAGTGACTTTTATTCATCTAATGTTAAATTGTGATTGGTATTCACTAACCTTAGCAACATGACAATACGTAACCGTGACTAACCAGATGAAGTAAACGAAAGCTTAACCAAAGATGATTACAGTGTCAAAGAAACAGGTTTACATTAGATTTGAATCCGAAGGTGACATCATCAACGAGGTTATGACGCAGTGTTTGAGAGGAGCTTTTCAGAGAACATTCAACTCTACAAATTTATATCCCATCTTCTACATTCGACCAATTATATGTTCAGTGTGTAAAGATAGACTTCCTGAATCTGCTTGTAGGGTGTACAGTTAGGCAAGTAAATTGTCGAATGTTTGAACACCATCCATCGTGATTGAGTTAACGACAGATAGGGATTGTAAAAGGCTTCGTTTTAAAAGTTTAAAGTAATTGGTTTTGTTGATAAATTTAACCAATATAGTGAGAAGACATATATGATGTTATAGCGCTATACACTTCGAGTAATCTGATCACACGTGTATTTGTTGAACTATTTATATGGAAATTGAAGGATGGTTGACCATATGCTATCTAAGTGGCTTAAAAAACAAATGACCTCACCAGAGCCTATAGGTTCAGGTGACAAATGTCTATCTTCATCTATCGCTAAACAAACTAGAAGCTAGTCACAGGGTAGACAAAAACAGCTTTTAAAGTATCGCATAAATGTGGTATCAGGCATGAGTGCTTAAATTTATTGAAGTTCATATCATATCTCATATCAAACCTCCTTTATATGTGTCTAAAAACAATTTATACTCACGTTAAACGTACCTTGGTAGTATTGATTTTCATACAAGGAATGACATGATTTAGATTCTTTTTTTACCCTTCTTATTCTCATGTTTTCCATTGACTTAACTGGCCTTTTTGATAAATTTTCATATAAAAAGTTTGACAAATTCATATATGATCAGATGACTCCAAAAGCATAGTACTTGTACATCACACATGTTCCTAGATAATCTTCATTTCCTCATTACACTGTTTAAAAAGCGTAGTACCTGCTTATTTAGAAGATGCTGATGAATAAGTGAATACAAGCAAGGCTTTTATAGTTATTTACTATCAAGTATCCGATCTTCTACATAGCCTAGGCATGGGGATGGTTAAGGCGTTTGCCGTGAAACCTGTAAGTCCTGATTTCGATCCCTAACCGGGGCGTGGGTGCGTACTGCTGAGAAGTCCCATACTAGGGAGAAACAGCTTTCCAGTGCTCCCATATTTTCAGTGGTTCCCCAACTGATGTCAGTACATGATTAATACTACTTCTAAAACCAATGTATTAGTTCAAAGCCGATGAAGAAGACAGACTAACAGACAGTATCAACGTAGAATCTTGCACTTTACAATAGCATACAAAGAACGGGTGGATACAAAAAGTGTTAATATATATTTGCGCAACACATTTTGAACGGTCTGATCATACACGTACTTGTCATAGGTATTTATATGTAAAAAAATTCATGAAGATAAGGGGTGAGAAATTGAAAAGAGGTCAGGTAAGAAGGCTGAATTAAAGGCCGAATAACAATGAAAGTCAATAGAGCGAAAAATAATAGCACATCGAATTTGGTTTTCAATAGTTGAATTTACCGAGGAAGATTTAACGTGACAACAAATTATGTTTAGTAATGGATGGGCAGTGGCTAGCAGTGGAATCCAGGATGCGCATTGTGATAACAAATTGTTTATGAACACACAAAAGTGGTTTCAACTTCCTAATAGCTAAGGCTTCAACAAATTTCGGGATCCCTCCCCAACATGTTTTGTAAATAGGTATAAAGGAAGTAGCCACATCAATCTTGTGACCTGTCTCAACGGTGTTTGGCGATCGAAGAACTTGGACATCTGCTACCAGCGTTTATGGGTTCATGTGATTAAATTTGCTTCTGAAGCCACTTTGGAATATGTTCCGAGGCCCTTACCTGCATGGATCTATTAGTCCTCCCTATGTATGTGTCACCACACGTACATTTGAATTGTTAGATACAATGGGATGTGACATTGTCGTTCACATGCTGTGGGGGTTTGGGGGAATATACGGGCTTCGTGGTTTCAATTACTCGAACCCTGGCTGCATAGTAAGTCCCTCTAACAGCAGCGTTAAGTCTCTGCTTAAGGATTGCACTTTGTACGGAAGACTGATAAAGACATTCTTGTTTGGAACAAACTGCAGTTCTAGTTTTGGCGTTCTGGCAATTTTGTTCTGCATGATGAATGTTGATGGATAGTTATTTTCCAACAAAATATCTTCATCTTCTAAAGTATCCTCGGTGCATATTCGTTGAATTCTGCTGAATAAGCACCTTACTGATGTTCGCTTGTACTGAACTTGGCACAAGCTATGGCAATTCATATAAGTACGATACTAACATTTCTATAGTGACACTGTCCACCTATCAGAAGGAAGCCCTATCCCTTTGACTTTCATTTTGTGTTCCTCGTAAGCAGTCATCAGATTTGGCAACCCATGCACAGTTTGAAAACCTATGCAACCAGTTGAAACCTCTCGTCCCAACTTCAATTGAGGACCAGGGATAGCTGAAAGCCAAGATGGTAGATATCGCCCACCAGTTTTGTGATAGCCATCAGAACCAGAAAAGCATTCTTACTTCTGAACATTTCAGAGCTAAGAAGGAACTACGAGAGAACCCCGATATTACTATCCTCAAACCTGACAAAGGCTCAGGTGTCGTGATCATGGATAAAATCGAACATAAGTGTAAAATGTCATCGATTCTTGAAGATGAAAATAAATTCACTAAGGATTGTTCTTCAGAAGACGTACAATTGTTACAGGGAACTGTGACAGCTAATCTAGTGAAACTGCTCGAAATGAACGTCATTACTAGTCGAAAATGCACCCTACTGAAACCAACCGAATCCCGATTCCCACATGTTTACCGTTTGTCCAAAGTACACACACCCAACAACCCCTTACGTCCCATAATGTCAATGCGTAAGTCGCCAACGCATAAGCTTGCCTAGTGGCTAGTGGAATTATTGGATCCCATTAAGAAGCAATTTTGTAAGTATTCCTTAAAAGATACATTTGAAGCAACCAAATAACTTGAGCATGTAAAGGTGAAGAGTAAATTAATGTGTTCATTTGATGTTAACTCATTATTTACCAATGTCCCTTTGGTCAAGACAATTGATATTTTATGTGATGATGTTTCTGTGCATAAGTTTCTGACAGAAAACCTACATGGACAGGGCAATATCTGATTTACCATAACTTGTGCCAAGTTCAGTACAAGCGAACATCAGTAAGGTGCTTATTCAGCAGAATTCAACGAATATGCACCGAGGATACTTTAGAAGATGAAGATATTTTGTTGGAAAATAACTATCCATCAACATTCATCATGCAGAACAAAATTGCCAGAACGCCAAAACTAGAACTGCAGTTTGTTCCAAACAAGAATGTCTTTATCAGTCTTCCGTACAAAGTGCAATCCTTAAGCAGAGACTTAACGCTGCTGTTAGAGGGACTTACTATGCAGCCAGGGTTCGAGTAATTGAAACCACGAAGCCCGTATATTCCCCCAAACCCCCACAGCATGTGAACGACAATGTCACATCCCATTGTATCTAACAATTCAAATGTACGTGTGGTGACACATACATAGGGAGGACTAATAGATCCATGCAGGTAAGGGCCTCGGAACATATTCCAAAGTGGCTTCAGAAGCAAATTTAATCACATGAACCCATAAACGCTGGTAGCAGATGTCCAAGTTCTTCGATCGCCAAACACCGTTGAGACAGGTCACAAGATTGATGTGGCTACTTCCTTTATACCTATTTACAAAACATGTTGGGGAGGGATCCCGAAATTTGTTGAAGCCTTAGCTATTAGGAAGTTGAAACCACTTTTGTGTGTTCATAAACAATTTGTTATCACAATGCGCATCCTGGATTCCACTGCTAGCCACTGCCCATCCATTACTAAACATAATTTGTTGTCACGTTAAATCTTCCTCGGTAAATTCAACTATTGAAAACCAAATTCGATGTGCTATTATTTTTCGCTCTATTGACTTTCATTGTTATTCGGCCTTTAATTCAGCCTTCTTACCTGACCTCTTTTCAATTTCTCACCCCTTATCTTCATGAATTTTTTTAAAATATAAATACCTATGACAAGTACGTGTATGATCAGACCGTTCAAAATGTGTTGCGCAAATACATTACACTGTTCAGACAATTTACTTCTTCTTACTCTTTTGTTAACGTTTATAAAGTGAACAATTTTTATTGAGAAGTGTTAAATCAAATGAGACAAAGTTGAGTGAGAGAATAAACAATTTGAATATGACGGTTCGTGCAAATATTCCAGCTTTGACTGATGTTAATAAATGTATACTTCTGCCCCATTTTGACCATTTTTCAGCTGTATTACGAAATGTTCTCAAGCACTGATTCCTTTCTTCTTGGGGACCGCAATCAAACCATGCAGTCTATATCTTGTGACACGACTCAGGCCAACAGTGAGAGACTTTATTGACTGCTGTCATGGTTTAGCCTGGTCACCATGACCTCTATTTCAACCTTATCGAACTTCCCACATCATCACTATGGTACTTCTAGGTAACAGTAACTTGACAAGCGCAGTACATATCCAAGTTATTTCACTCAATGAAATTTTACAGCTTCATCAATCGACTTAGTGGTCTTGCCTAGTACCCTTTGCTTGACCTCAACAGTGCATACACGGTGATTCCACGAAACGTGAGTAATGCTACGTAGATATGTTTTAAGAAAACCTTGTAACCGCTTCATGTATTTTACTTTTATCAGGCATGTTTCACAGACGGATAACAGGACAGAGTGAACTGTTTTGATAAGAATTTTTCTTCTATCATCCATCTAGCTCCATTTCCTTTTTGTTACGATATATTTTATATGTCTATTGCCTCTCTGACAGGAATTGCATTTTAAATTAATTAATTGGTTGTGCTACTATTATTCGTTGAACAGCGAAATAAATGTCTACTCATCTTTATTATTATTATTATTTTCTTTTTTGTTCGCTATAGGAGATTTCGCTGTTTTATTACATGCTGGAATGTCAGTGAAATCAGCTCTTTTCTACAATTTATTATCAAGTATATTATGTGCAGCTGGAATGATTTTAGGCTTTCTACTCGGTGGAATGCATTCATTAGACACATGGATATTCATGTTAGCTGCAGGAATGTTTGTTTACATTGCATTAGTTGATATGGTAAGTATTGAGTATAGTATATTATACATTATATATGTTATAGGAAGGAATTCATTATTTAACTTTTATTGATTCATCATCATCATTTATCAACATAGGATCAAGGATTACTGAGTAACGGTCCGAGTTGCCACACCTCATATCAGTACATCAAGTAAAACGGCAGTGAAGTGGGAGATGAAGATAAGGATATTCCGTCAAAAGAAATATAAAGTATGAAAAGAGAGAAAGGAAGAATGAGAAAATAGTGAGATTCGGTATAGCGTCGTTAAGATGAGGATAGTGTGTGTATACATCTGCACAACTGACATCGGTCGTAAGCCATATCACCTAGAGTCTCCAACCACTGGGTTCTCTTGTCCCACGGACTCTAACCACCCAGTCTGCATCACCTTACATGGCTCAAACCAACAGTCAAACACTTCGTGCATTGATGCCATGTTTTAGTCTGACCGCCTTGAGCGATTTTCCAGCCTGAACCTACTTCGGTCAACATTGTGTGACGAGGCGATTGACGACTAGGCATACGTAACACATGTTGGAGCAAACTATCTCAGTCGATGAAGGTTTGCAACAGTATCAACTGATATACCTCTTCTCCATAAAATTCTATACCTGAGATCTGCGTTACTCATGCGGTTATTGGATTGCGAGTCTGTCCTACTAAATTTTACATGTAATGACGACTGCAGCAGCATGATTGAGAATTGAATTTGATGATTAATTGGTTTTAGGTTTGTATTCATCATGAATTCACATCAATTGTAGAGACTTTTGAAACGTATGAGAACTGGACAGCTGTTTCGTCCTACTAGAAGACTCCTCGGGGGTCTGCTTCGAGTGATGATGCTTCCCCAAGTTCTAATGACTAGTCGTGACCTTTGGTCCCAACCAAGTCAAACATAAGAACAGATACTGAACGACGTCATTGGATAGATTTTGCGCTATATCGTGAACTGAAAGGAGTAAGAAATATGAACCATTGTATTTTGACGCAGGCTATGGGTTCTACCCCTAGCAGGGTTATGGGTACACACTGCTGGGGAGTCGCATACTAGGACGAAACAGCTATTCAGTGCTCTAAGATTTAGAATATTCCTCCAATTGATGTTAGTCTATGATGAATACTAACCTGAAATCAATCGATAAATTCCCACAAACCTCCAAATTGAATTCGTGTTTTAACTTTTTGTATTAGCGTATATAGGCGTTTGTTAGAAAATAATAAATGTACATCCTTCTCACCTTCTATCAGAAAGTACACTTGTCAAGGTGTATCGGGTTTCCACGTTTGTTATTTTATCCCTTCGATCAGCTGCATTTAATGTTATCAGAAGCGTGACATTTTGTCTACATATCCTCTTCTCTGAAGCTTCCAATGCCAATACAGCTGGTTGTTTAGTCTGATTTGTCAAATCGAGAGAGAGAAAAAAAAATTCTATTTTCACTATTTGAAGTTGGAAAACCTGCTATCTATCGTAAGAGGTAGTGTACAATCTCTGTTGCTTGCGCTTTTACTGAATAAATTGTATGTATCAACACAGATTTCCAAATACTTGCTTCTAGTAGGCAGTATTTCGCAACTTATATGCTTCTTTAATATAATAGTAAAACACTATCGTAAGGTGTAATTCTATTTCATCCCTCTACTCATATCACAAAGAAGGTAAGGATATTAGCACTGTATAAAGGATGCCTCAAAATTGTGCAGTTATATTGATATCGCTATGGACAATAATTTATGTCCGAAACGTAATCCAGTAAACCATACTGTCCCACTGTGTGATATATCTAATGAATCAACTAAAATAAAATTATAACTTGACTATCTGCCGTAGTTTGGCAGACTAGTACTTATACTGGCTGATGATTGAAGGTGAGATGAAAGTCTTGGCTGCGGCCAGATTTGAACCAGCGACCCACCGGGTTACCGGCTCGATGCTCTACGAACTGAGCTACGAGGTCTGACTACTGATCAGATTTCTGTTTCATTTCGCTCCGCATCACGAATTCACATATATTAGTAGGGCGAAACCCCTGATGATTGAAGAGAAAAATCTGATCAACAGTCGGACCTTGTTGCTCAGTTGGTAGACCACCGGGCCGGAAACCCGGTGGTCTCTGGTTCGAGTCCGGCCGTGGTCCAGATTTTCATCCCACCTTCAATTGCAACCTAGTATTAAATGGGATTGTGTGCTTCTTACAGAGCTTGATCTTAGTCATTAGTGCAAACCAACCACTTCAGGTATATGCACTAGGCTACTAGCTACACTTTTTGAATAAAGGTTTATGATAATACAAAGTTACTTAAACTGAAGGAAGTTGTCAGAAAGTATAAACTTATTGTCTGGAGTTACTGTATTTTGGTCAGACTTGTCATATTTGATATCAACAACCTGATACAAAAAAATAACACAAAGCACAAGAAATCAAAGGTGGACTAGGGTAGACGACTAAATATCAATATGCACATAAAGATAAGTTGATGACGAATTACAGTCCCTGGGACCCATTGTGAGCTATATCAACTAGTCTTCAACCACTGGTTTCGGTAATCACATGGACACTCACAAGGAGGTTTATGCTTCACAATGGGAATCAGACTAACAGTCAGAGATTTCATAGATTGATGTTTAGTTCTACTCTGGGTGTCTTTAACCCTCTTCCAACCTGAACATACCTCAGCTAACATTGTGAAATGGAGGAGATGGCGACCAGTCATCCATAACACAAGTTCCAGCTATATGAGTCCATGAAAATCTCCAAAGTCACCATGTGATTTACTCGTTTTGTCTGCCTGACTTCTACATTACCTATGTAACAGTTCCACAATATACACGAATCATGCTACAAAAGTAACAGTGATCGAACACCTCAAGCTTTCTTATTCCCTGTACTTTCAATGATCATGTTTCACATTCACATAGTATACAGCAAAGCGAACGACTAGGCTGCGCACTCGACACTTAGTAGGTAATCGGATATCACGACCGCACCATAGTAAGCGTAACGAAAGACTATCAAGCCTCTCGTATACATGCCGAAAGTTCATCAGTCACTAATCCGTCTGAGTTGATCTGAAGTTGTCAATCCACTGACCCATTTCACTCCCTATTACTAGACGTTTCAACAACGCCGACCAGTCCTGGAGAAACAGTTTGCCTTTACAGAGTGATAAACACACTCAAAATACTATCATATGGGAACTTATGGTATCCAGAAAACTGTGGATCTGATATGCTTCGTCGCCTAACGGCACTGTCTCATTGCGAACACAACATCTAAGGAGTCTCGTGAGACAAGATAAATCCCTGTAAAGTCAAACGAGAAGTGACAGGCCTCCATAGACACATCTGTGACAAAATCAAAACGGAATGTATAGGGTAGACATTGCTAACGAGCACCATTCCACGTAAACACCGCATATGATAACTCATCATAGGCTCTGAATAGTCCGATATTGTTCGAATAAGGGGTCTTCAGCTGGCTGGCATACTTACCTGGCATCCCTTTCAGTGACAGGCACTGCAGTAAGACTTCATCAAAGGAGTGAAGTGCTGCCGACAGGTCAAGAACTATAGCTGATATCGGTCGCCCCTAAGTGTAACTGGTGTTGCAAAAACTGACAGAAGGTTATTATCCTAAAACCTAGGATCTTAGACAATATGTCGGTCACAATGACTTTATTGTAATCATCACAAGCGGATTTCTTTCCCTTCTTGAAGAGTAGAACAATCATTGGTTGAGACCGGTCAGATGGCGTCACATTTGATTCTCATAGGCTAAATAACGCAAGCAACAGTCTTTGACCAGCGTCATGAAATACCTTTGTTACTAGCCTTGCTACTCCTTCTCATTTCACCGTACATGTGGCCTTCTCATTTTCAGCAACAGTCGGAGGCCGTACGCCAATGTTCTGTTTAGAATCCGACTGTACAGCAAGCAACGGATGAATACCTGGTGCCACTTGAACTGTTCTTCGAGGTGTTTCACTTATGGTTTCAGTCATCTTCTCTGTGAGTGAACCACAGATAGACGCCTTTCTGTCATAGTTTCACTAACTACCCAGTTAGCTTGATCAGTGTGAGCAACCGTCTACTGTTATGTATCGCCACTGCCTATTTATCTCCTGGTTCCGTTCCTCATTGTGCTGGAAGTCCGTGGCAAGGAGTTTATGTGCATCCAACAAGCCACAAGAAGCTCATAAAAACACAGCTCTTTCTAACCCCCTTCTCAGAGCCAATCACGCTGTTTTCACAATAGAAGATAGATACCACTTAGTTTCTTCACATCGAGTGATGTTAACTTGTTCGGAAGACTGTCTAGTCAGTTCTCTGTCGAAAGCATCCTTAGTGTTATCATCATCGACTTTCGTTAGCGATGGACTTGCTGCTGTAGTTTTTACACACCAAATTATGCAAAGACTTTCATATACTGAAACTAACACGTGATCACTGTCCATATGCGTGCTTCAGAACAAGCGGCAATCTTCCAGGGATAATCCTCTAGTGACAAATTATATCAAAGATCGTCTATTTTTGTCCAACTTTTAGTAAGGGTTGGTAGATACCAACTCAGACTGTCATTCCATTTATGTGAAGTTCGAACTGGTCAGATACAGATGGTTGTCTGGATACATTTGTTATAGGAGATCACCGTTATTCCTTCATTTGGGTGGGATTCCGCGAGTGCTAGATAGATATCACTCTACATGGCTTAGCCCACCCACTTACATGTGCATTGAAACCACCTACTACAAGCAACATCTCTGAATCTTTGACTCTCGTAGGAGGTTAGGCAATTTTTGGTTGAACGCACTTCTCACTTCATATCAACTACAATTAGTGGTTGCTTAGTCAGAGATTATGAAGAGACAATGATGAATTATACCACTATTTTAAGTCATCACTATGCCATTAAGTCAAAAAGTGCGTTGTCGACTGGGATTCAGTCGAACAATGCATTTTCTAACTTCGTACTCAATGCTATACATAAACCTG